CACTACTAGTACCACTACTTCTACTACTACTTACTACTTCTTCATTCCACAAACAAAGGGAAATTTACCATGTGAGTCTTTGCAAGCGACACAGGCTTCCACAGGAGGCGCTGTTTAGTCATATGTGGTTCTTCTGGGGATCGAACCCAGGACTTTCTGCTCTTTGCTAGCCGCTACCACTATTACCACTTACTCCTACTACTATCACTACTACTACTACTACTATTATAACTGGTGCTTTGTAGACGCTGCGTCCTCACTGCAGTTCTATGTCGTTCTGCGCTCACGTTCAACTCTGTCTTGTTGGAAAGTAAAGTTTGATGTTTCCAATTAAATGAACCTCCAGTGACTGGTGTCTGTTCAACGACTGGACAAAGTCCCTGATAAAAACCCTGAATACAGTGTTTTGGGTGGGTCTCAGCCAGACTGGACCTTGTCCAATCATCTCTCAGCTGCCTGGTATTTCTATAATTGTAATTGGCTGTTGAAGCACAGTGTTCTGGGATCCATCTGTCAGCGTGGCACAGACAGCTGCTGCAGGTTTGCATATGTGTGTGTGTGTAGGTGTGAGTGTGAACCTGGTTTAGTAATACTCATGGGGACATTCTTAGGGCAAATACAATTGTTGGTCCCTTGTGGGGACCTTTTGCAGGACCCTACTGAAGAAGAGAGTGTCTCGACGGCCAACATTTAGTTTGAAATTAGGATTAGAATTAGCGTCGGATTATAGTACGGGATGAAGATCTGGTGCATATTTGAAATAATTCTGACTAGCATAAGAGCCTACTTCCTTCTTTAATCTTGCGTTCAACTCCAGAAACGTATCTACACACCCTTTCAGATTACAGATACATTTCAGATACCATCAGCATTTAACACCATACATCATTAAAATATAGTATAACGGTAACAACATGTCTTTCATACCAATCATCAGCCATTATCAGCGTTTCTCCAGACTTCTTTTCTTATTGTGATCCTGTCGAGTCAGGGCTTCTTCCATTACTTGCATTGCCAGCAAAATTATAATAAACGTATTAAAAAAAAAATCACCATTTTTTTTTTTTAAATCGCACAAAAAGATTTTTTTCACATTTTGAATCATTCTTCATTGTCACGGCCTCAGTTCTTTTCCTGGGTACGTTCTGAACCGACGTACTTTTAGGTATTACCTAACTCATGACTGTTAAATTCATCAATTTCAGTACTTTCCCTGCTCCTCTCTTCTGAATTCAAATAATTCTACTCTTCACTTCTGTTTTCTGAATAATTTTAGGTACTTCTCCCTTTTCTTTGACCTGCGTCTAAACATTTCACATTATTTTATATCTACTACTTTTGAACCTAAATAAAAAAATCTTATTTATTAACCTACTTATGTGGAGGAGGTTTCGGGATTCGAACCTGTAACCTTCCATGCACTGGCAAAATTTTAGTTTCTACACAACAACCTGAATTATTCAGCATGATATAACATGAAAGTTTCTGTCGTTTTATAAAGATCCCAGATAAGTTCTTGATGATGATTGTGTTTTTTAGTCGTTATTTATTTTTTTGTTTTTCAGCTTCATCGAAATAGTTTGGTTTTGCTTAGTGTTGTTGGTCTTGTAGATTTTTTTCACGCCTGAATTTAATCGGGATTCGAACCTGTAACCTTCCATGCACTGGCAAAATTTTAGTTTCTACACAACAACCTGAATTATTCAGCATGATATAACATGAAAGTTTCTGTCGTTTTATAAAGATCCCAGATAAGTTCTTGATGATGATTGTGTTTTTTAGTCGTTATTTATTTTTTTGTTTTTCAGCTTCATCGAAATAGTTTGGTTTTGCTTAGTGTTGTTGGTCTTGTAGATTTTTTTCACGCCTGAATTTAAATTTTTGTTCTTGTTGTTTTTTTAAAACTTGGAAATTGATGGAATTTCAAAGACATTCTCCCAAATTTGTCGTGGCCTGTTTGTTGTTATTGTTGTTGTTGTTGTTGTTGTGCAGCCCCTCCAGTCCAGGACGGGAGAAAAAAAACAACAAACCAATTAGAAAAGCGCAGGTGTCCACAGTGAAGGGCTGTCCACTGTGTAACATCAACAGAGCCTGTTGTTCCGATGTATTGCTTTCACCACTCGACACGGCGCTAACAGATGTAACGTCTCATCTGAATGCAGCCACCGTCACCCGTGCCGTCTCTCCAATTCCAACGCTCGCCGCTGCGGCAACAGGTCGTCTGACCCGAGCGATAATCAAGGTCGAAGCCTTGACTGCTGCAGTGGGAGTTTAAGCTGCACTCACTCCGGGCAGACGGCTGGGAGTCTGATGTGACGAGGCACTTTTCCTCCCGCTGAGATACTTTAGTGCTGGAACTGCATCTCACAGCAGCAGCAGCAGCAGCAGCAGCAGCAGTAGTAGAGTTTCTGCAGTCAGCTAAAAGTGACACACACTGGAAAGTACACACACGCAGACACGCAGCAATGTCAGGGAGTCAAAGGGCAGGGCTTCAAATGCCCCGTCACACCCTACGTTTTTGTGGTTTCGTCAGTGTCGGCTCCTTTTCAACCAGGCTTAAAGAGTGGACTTTGTCTTTGTCGTTTTTTTTAATATATTTTGCAGCAATTTTTACTTTGTAAAAGTGAATCACTATTGAAAATAGTCTTATCTACGCAAAAACCTTTCAAATCTCAGCTGTAAATTTAAAAAAAAAAACTAGCTAAAGATTAGTTCGAAAAAAAACTTAAGCTGGGATTAAGAAAGCAAGACTTAAAAGTTTAGTTCAACAAAGCTTACCAAAATATGAATTAAACATTCAAGGAACAATAACTGAAGTTAGATTATATATTCGTATTGAGACGTTTACAATAAATTAAGGTAACGCTGCTGTAAACTTCACGAAGACGGCTAAAGTTAGCAAAGTTAAAAGTACAAAAATATAGAATAAAATGGCTGAAGATTAGCCATCGATAAAAGTGAGGCATAAAATAGCTATATGATAGCCAAATGGCTAAAATTACATGCAAATGTTTTTGTCACAATATAGAATTTAGTAGTTAACCAAAGTGATGGCAATAATTATCAAGGTGAATAAAAATACACAGAAGTCCGCTTAGCGCTAGCTGACTGTTAGCCATAGCTAAAACTGTTGGAGAAAAAATGCGCAGAGAGAGCAAAGAGTAAACTCAAAAGTGAAGGTAGGAATGTAGAGATTATCAAACGCTAAAGGTAGCCACAAGGTGGTCGAGGTCAAGACTCCTAAGATGTAAATGAAAGTGGACTCAAGTCCGTTTATTTAACCACTAAGCCAGCACTAAAAAAATAAAAATATTTAGCTAAAGATAAGCTAAAAAAAAGCTAAACTTTAGTAATAAAATGAGTGGACATAAGAATTAAAAAAAAATGCTTTTAATTTATAAACACAAGCTTGAAAAAGAAGTCAAGTAAAATGGCAAAAAGAAATAAATAAAGAAAGAAAGAAAAATTGCAAATAAATGCCAGTCATTAGCCAAAAAAAAAAAGTGAGCCAAGAAAGAGGTGAAACAAATGTTGCCAAAAGTTTTTTCAATAGCATCAGGGAACAAAACTGAGCCGAAAAGATTAAAACTGACCCTGAATGATTTCACGGGGCCAAAGAGTCTCTGCTAAGAAAAGCTGATTCCTCCTCCTGCCCCGCACCTTCATTTCCGCGCGTGACCTTGGCTGCCTTTGGAAATCTCATTTATCCTGCAATTATCTCGCAGTGACAGGAAGTAGAGATGTTGGATGAGATCAGCAATTCCTTATCCTGCAACCTCACCTCCTCTGTGTGTGTGTGTGAGAAAGTGTGTGTTTGTGCTTGCGCTACGTCTCTACCCTTCCCGGGACAGAGCCTTTCATCTTCTACAAAACCCAGAAAACCAGCGATGCGCTGTGATCTACAGTATCACAATTTTATTAGAAAAATTAAATACTTCATCTCTCAGTTGTGCCATGCTTGGAGCATATAACAATACAGTAAAAAACCCAGACCCGGAGAAGAATAGTAAAGCAGATTCCACTGATGCTTCCACAGCACTCTGTCATTCATGCTGTTACTATACAGACACTGCAACATTCCTAATACAGAGTTGTACAAACACCTGCCAAAGTACGAACCGGACCCGAATCACATTTACCAAAAAAACCAAAAAAAAAAAAACAAAAAAAAAAAACAAAAAAAGTCAAAAGTCAAACCGGCTCAGAAACGAAAAGCAACAAACACCGAAAGATCGCAACTGAAAAATTTCCCAAACAATGTGAATGTGCTGAATTTCTGTACCAGCCCAAGGCACCCGGGGTGGTGTAGCAATATTGGCAAAGTTAACGACATTCGTACGTACGGAGACCACTTAAAGCAAAAAAGGGGGTGATTTACGACTCGTGCCACTGTCTGACTTTGTAGCGTCCTCTTTCCTACACGAGTCCCCTCCTTCCCCCCCCCCCCCCCCCTTCCTCTTCGTCAGTCACAGTGCAAGTTCCGGAGGGTGGAGGGCTGTTCGTTGGGGGTTTTTTTTTCGATGAAGGGACGGAGGTGGGAGGGTGGTTAGCTGTACCACATCAGACATCACTGCAGAGCGCCGAACACAGAGAAGGGCTGGGGGCCGGGGGGCGGGGTGGATGGACGGACATCATGGATATAAATCCTCGGTTGTTTGGTGAAGTGTCTTAAGTTCCTGGCGGGAAAAAAAAAAACGTTCACGTGTCCGTTCAACTAAACTCAATCTCAGAGGAGCGGGGACAAAACCGGGAATTTTCTCACTTCTCGCAACCATCTGGACTTTCTTTTTCTGTGCTCGTTCCCTCACGATGAAAAGTTGTTTTGTTTTGCACACGAATGCCTAAGAATGACGGCGATCCTGGACTTCAGGCCGAGCCACGACTCAAACGTGGTCCCTAACGAACGTCGAAACCAAAGACCAGAAACGACAGAAAGCTCAAAAACACGGAGAGGCACTTTTTTTTTTTTTTTTTTCTTTTTTTCAAAAAAAAGGAAAAACAAACAAACAAACAAACACCGGAACGGCAGTTCTCTCAGTTGAGCGAGCGACATGGCTCGAAGGTCCATTTGGTGGCTCCGCCAAATATTTCGATGCTGCTCTCCGTCCAGGAGAACACGTTCCCGCCCGGTGCTCTGCTGTTGCAGGTGGCCAAGTTTGAGATCTCGGAGGCGGAAAGTTTCCTGTTCCAGATGTTCAGGTTCGCCAGGTCTCCCACGAAGGCTTGTGTGGCGTCGAAGCTTCCGCCCAGTGAGTCCTGGGGGAAGGAAAGAGAGAGAGGATTTCAAATGATACGAGAAACAGTCATGAACTGGAACTTTAACTGGTCATAAACAACAGCGTACAAACATTGGTCAGATTGGTCATTATTCTTCCTCTCCTATTCTATCTTTTATTCTACTTCCTTCTTCAACTTCGGTTTCTTCTTGATCCCGCGTTTCACAGTTCAAGAACCTTGATTGAAAATGAGCGGTCGTGGAAAGGGACTCGGGCAAAGTCTTGCGTGATAACATCCGGGGAATCACAAAACACGGCGTTGGTGGAGTGAAACGTATCTCCGGCCTGATCCATGAAGAGACCCTTGGTGTCCTCAAGGTCTTCCTGGAGAACGTGATCCGTGATGCCGTTACGTACACCGAGCACAGTAATATGCTCTGAAGAGACAGGGCAGCACCCTCTAAGGATTTGGAGGTTCTTTCTCTTCTTCTTCTTCTTTTTTGCACAGTTCCTACATCGACTTCTTCCCTTTTCTCTTGATAATGTAACTTGGTGTTTTGAAAAAAAAAAGTGTTATTTTCGAGCTCCAAAATCTTATGTAATCCCGTGGTGACAGCCAGACTGAGGGCTGGAGTTTTGTTTCCACTGGATCATTAACTCCGAGGAGCGCTACATTCTGACGTAGCGGTCACTCCGAACAGCAGCAGGCTCGTGAGGAGCGCTACATTCTGACGTAGCGGTGTGTTTTACAGTTTTTTTTCCCCATCAGCTGTCAATAAAAGGATTTTAAGACCAAATCTTCTTCCAGTTGCTTCCTTCAAGGACCATCTGCCTCCTTCTCCCATCGCTTCGCCTCCGTTACCCTTCGTCGATTCATCCACGTCTTCTTTCTCCAAAAAAATCTTCTGTGCAATCTTCTTCTTCGAAAGTGTCAATCTACCTGACACGCAGGGGCGGACCGCGGGGTGGGCCGATCCCTGATGCTGTGATCCTGGGGATCCTGTCTGGAAGCTGTGCCTCAAACATCTCTGACGGTTAATGATTTTCCCGTCACGTCTGTTGACAGCAAACGTCAACGAAAGGTTCATCGTTCCACTGTGTGGAGTAGAAGCCAACGTAGCCCCGTTAGAACTAGTTCATATTTTTGATGAAATGTATCTTCTATCCATCCATCGATCCATCCATTTTCATCCGTTACCAGGTCGCGGGGTGCAGCAGTCTCTATGACCGCCACCCAAATCACACTGCACCGTACCAACCCCCCTGAACCTTCCTTTGGTTGGTGAGTCCACTGGAAGGTACCAACCGCCCTAACCGGGATTCAATCTTGCCCAGAAGGTGAACCCTGGGGTTTCCACTCCAACGACAGAGACATTTAATATTCTAGAATGCTAGAAAGGGTCTCCTTTCTCAACCTGAACCCAACCCCCTTAAAACCCCCCCCCCCCCTTCCCCCCTCACCTCCCCTGCGCCCCCCCCCCCCCCCTCTTCTTTCCCCCCCCCCCCCCCCCCCCCCCTCCGGGGGGGGAGCCACTGCTACCAGCCAACATTAGCCACAGGGACCTAATTAACACAACATAAATTATGGGATGCTGATAAAGCAGTCACCGGTGCCATTGCGGGGCAGCGCGCCGCTGTGCCGGCTTCCCCCGCTCACACAGCAGAGCGACATGGCCG